AGGCTGGAGTGTAGTGGTGCAATCATAGCTCACCGCAGCCTCAACCTCCTGGGCTCAAGCAATCCTCTTACCTCAGCCTCCCAAGTAGCTGGGACCCAGGTGTATGCCATCATGCTTAACTGGTTATTTATTTTTCACTTTTTTTTTTTTAGTTTTTGTAGAGACAATATCTTACTATGTTGCCCAGGCTGGTCTCAAATTCTTGACCTCAATCAACCCGACCACTATGGCACACCAAAGAGTTAGGATTACAGGCATGAGCCACCCTGCCCAGCCAAATTCATAACTTTTAAAGAAAATACAGAAAGTAGGACTAAGCTTTCAGCCAGAAACAGACCACAAAACACCAAGAATCAAAAGGACTTTGGAGAAGGACATATTGCCATGTGTGAGCCAATAGCATGACAAACAGCACCTCCTATTTGGTGGCTTACTGGTTGGAAATGTACAGCTCTTACTATGTGTCAATGAAGATATTTTTCCTTTCCTTCACCTCACCATTGTGGCTCCCTCTGGCAAAATGGCAGAGAATTCTTCAGGCAGCAGATGAAGAGTGAACGCATGAGACCCTCGGTTCCTAGGCAGCACTGCCAGGCCCTTGCCCCACTTCCTCCCCCTCCACTAGCTCCTTTGGGCAGCCTGAACTTTGCTTTGCTTAGTGTTTGCTCTTCAGTGAAAAGTGGCAATATTCACCGTGAGAGGAGCTGTTCTTTCCTAAATACAGCATGACTTGCAACCTCAGTCCTGGTTTCCAATGTGGCTGGCAGAACCATCTGTCATTCAGCAGTTACTCATACCAGAAGAGCAGGCCCATGCTTCCTAAAGAAGAAATCTGGCCCTCTCTGCAGATACAGAGGTCTTCACAAGGGTCTCAGAGTCATTTTCTAGATTGGTGTTGTGAAGTTTAAAATGATTTGTCCTCTACTGCTTACCACTTGTCAATGGGTATCAATAGCACAGTAACGGCTGTGTAAATCATAAATATGTGTCCACATAACTTTAACTTTCCTGTGATTATGACACTGAATATCAGGTATGTTCAGCGTTCATTCATCACCTAATAACTTGAAGATGTACTGGCTCTCAGACAAAGAGATCTCAACAAGCAGACCTTGGAACAGAGGTAAATATAGGGAGCATGATGTTTACATTCTTCTTAAAGCATCCAATTGCTTTCATAGCATTTGACTAAATTAACTGATAAAAAAGAGACATACCCCCAGCCCCACATAAGCCTGCTTGTGTCCACTTCAGTTATCTAGTCTAAAAGGGGTTGGGGGAGTAGAGCTGGTGCTAATAATTCCAAATAATAAATGATCTTTAAGAATTCTCTGTAGTTTGACAATGTGTCTCTATGACATATATTTTAATTTGATTTTGCTTTATTGTTCAGGGAGTGCTTTGTTAAAAGGTGAAATCAAGCCACAAAACTATGTCAAGAAAATTAATTCTACTTCCCTATATTATCCCATTTTTCTTTCAAGTACTCTCTGTTTTCCTTTTTTTTTTTTTTTGGGGGGGGGGGGACAGTTCTCACTCTGTCACCCAGGCTGGAGGATGGAGGGCAGTGACACAATCTCAGCTCACCACAACGTCCGCCTCCCAAGTTCAAGCAATTCTCCTGCCTCAGCCACCTGAATAGCCAGGATTACAAGCAGGCACCACCACATCCAGCTAATTTTTGTATTTTTAGTAGAGATGGGGTTTCACCATGTTGGCCGGGCTGGTCTGGAACTCCTGGCCTCAAGTGATCCACCTGCGTTGGCCTCCCAAAGTGTTGGAATTACGGGCGTGAGCCACTATGCCCAGTCAACTTTCTACAACATGTGGGGACTAACTGTACCTTTTCAGAACAATGTACCAGGCCAACTTGCCAAAAAAGGTGCATTCTTCTCTCCCTCACCTTCCTTAAATTTGTTGTTATTCACTGACTTACAACGTTCCTGAGAAAGTCAGAGGAAATTAAAGAGTTCGGTTCAACGCTATCTCTTTCAGGTCCTATAAGGACACAGGATATAGTTAAGATTTAAAGTAATCAGAGATGGCAGGTCAAGTTTAAGCCACTAAAAAAAATCTGACTAGATGATAATGCCAAAAAGAAGTTGAGCACAATTTGCCCATGCAAAAGCTGTAATATAAACAATCATCCCATGAAACACACGTAGTGTGTAGTTGAAAGCATTTGCATTCCTCTTACAATGTTATACAAACCCCAAAAATGGAGAGAGGAAAACTACATCTTTACCTCATTTATTTAATAGATGATTTTAAACGATCATTATGACTTGCTATAGCTCAGTTAATAATACAATATCATGGTACTATTGGGGTAGGCGGAGAAGACAGAAGTACTCTAATAGAAATTGCACAAAGGGAAAATAATTACCAACATCCATAGTAAAATATATATTGACATACATGCATACATATATGCATATATGTACACATATGTATAAAAGTATTATAGTATCTTTGTAATCAATTTTTAAATATTTAATCTAAATAGCTAAACAGTATAGTCGTAAGAAATAAAACATCAGTTATATTTAAAGTACCAAAATAATGATTGATGTCTAAGGTTTAAGTCACAGTACGTTGTAGTGAGTCTACCAAACACACAACAAATTTATACTCTTTAAGTTCCATCATTGGATCTGTCTACAGTATCCTCTCTATGCAAAACAATATTACACTGTTCATCTCACACACCATAGACTCTAGAGAGGTTAAGTGCAAAATCACACACTCTAGACAAAGAGTGCTTCTCCAGCTGAAGAGACTCTAGGGGGAGGACTCATGAGTGGCTCACAGCACCTGGCTCAGGGCCCAGCACATTGTAGATGCTCAGTAAAGTTTTGTTAGATTGAACTAAAATTACACCATAAAGATGAATAACTTTTTAGCCCTTGCTTCTATGGGTGACAGCTCTCTGAAACCAGTGTATGAGGGGTCTCACCATGTTTAGTATCCAACATTAGCCATACTCTCTCCAAATTCAGACGGTAGGTGGATATTGGGCTTTAGTGGTAATATATTTAAGATGATTGGTTTAGTATTTTTAAATGCCTTTATGAAGTAAAATTACTGAACCTTTGAAATAGCACAGAAAAATGTTGATATATTCATGTAGTAGATACACGTACTATGATCTGTTGCTAGGAAATCTTATAAATAAAAGTTATTTAATGCTTGATTATTATCCCTGGTGTGATTAAAACAAGTATGATAAATAAATCAGGAACTAGAATCCTCAAAGTTCAAGCTAAATAAACTTTAAAATCTTCTACGGTTATTTGCAAATGATGACATTTTATTATATTTGATTTTCGATACGAAAGTATCCTCTGACCAGGTGTGGCAGTTCATGATGCCTGTAATCCCAGCACTTTGAGAGACTGAGGTGGGAGGACTGGTCAAGCACAGGAGGTCAAGGCTGCAGTGAACCATCATTGCACCACTGCACTCCAGCCTGGGTGACAGGGTAAGACCCTGTCTCAAAAAAAAAAAAAAAAAAGTGTCCTCTAATTATAGGCTCTGATAAATAGCATATGTGGGTTTGCAATATGCAATGTCATTGTCAGTACAATTAAAAAAAAGAGAACTGTAAAAAATTGTTAGAAGTTCCAAGAGGATAAAAATGTGAACCAAACATACAATATCTAGGAATTAGCTTTTTTGCATTAGGAAAATTGATCGCTGTCCCTGCTAAACTTCTCACTAAGATAATATCTTAAGAGGAATAATACAAAGGTTTTAATGCTTTTAATAAGTTAATTTCATCATAAATAAAAGATCACTCAACTGTTTTGTTTCTTCAGCTTGATAATATAGTCCCAGATTTTCATCACGGTATTCTTTATATGTTTTTGTATGTCTTAAATATTGCACAATAAAAACATTTTAAGTAATAGAAGAGGAACTCTTCGAGCAGTGTACCGTGGTGTTTTTCTTAGTTAAATGATGAATTATCAAATGCTTGCTCCTCATGGAAGCCTCTTAAGGAAAAGTTAAAACTTTGAATATGTCTTATGGGAAGAGACTGATGTAGCACAAATCATTAAAAAACTTTCACCTAAAAGTCTTCCTGGTCATTTTCACATGGACCAAATGTTCACTCTAGGGCCCAACAAGTATTTGTTTCCTGCATGTATTCAATCTTCTGGAATTTGATATTTTCCACAAGGTTTGGTAACAGTGTCCCAAAGTCAAGGTGACAAAAGAACTTTGCATTAATAAAGACAATTTCAAGCCATAGTCAAATTTGGAGGGAATAAACTATCCGTTTTCCTTATACTTGAAAGTCTTTTTAATATGCATGTGCCTAAGTTGAATAAAATCTCCTACATAGAGGGGGAAATACAACGCTTTGCAGTGTCATTTGCATACAAAAGACTGCCAAAATTTTTCAGCCAAAATATTCAGTTTAAAACCTTAAAAAGAAATCTATTCCCATCACTTTGCGTGCCGACTGAGTATAAGACGGTCAAGGCCAAATAAATACAGGGTTTCTGAGGTCAGTGGCAAGGATAGCCAGAGATCTGAAGAACAGTGATCTGAGAAGGAATGGAGAAACTGGTTGGGGAGTCTCAAAAAGAGAAGGCTTGGGGTGGAGATATGATGGGCATAACTTCTTCAGGCTTAGCACTGAACCCAGTCAGCATAGCCAATCAGCATGTGATTGTTGAATGAATGAAGGAACCAATGAATGAACTAAACAAACTCACAATAGAGAAGTGGTAGTACAGAAGTAGGAGAAAAGAGTCATTGATGGCAGAAATCAAGGCCTACTTATTTTTGTACTCCTGGTGCTTGATACCATGCCCAGTAAATAGTTGGTGCTCAATTAATACACGATTGGATTAGGATTGTAGCGTAATCACTGACCACTACATTTAAAGCAGTCCAATAGTGGAACAGGCTGCCTCACAAATAGTGAGCTCTCATTTCCGTAGAGGAAATGAGAATCACTTCCACAGATTCTACTTTGGGCCAGGATCTCATCCCAGCAATGGAGCCAGAAGCTGGACAAACACCAGCAGAGATTTTGGAAAAAAACTCTGTGTCCCTCTCAGCACTTCAAAGGTCCCTTCCAACACCCAAAGATCAAAATCCTATGTTATACTGCCAAGCAAAGGTACCTATTAAAGCCTGTTGAAACCCCACAAAAATTTTTTCAGTTGTTTGTTAAAACCCCAAAGACATTATCAGGACTTCAGGACAAATATCCTAGAGGTAGCAATGCCCCCAGCAACAATGAAGAGTTCTCAGTCTGAGAGGCAAAAACTGTAGTGTAATTAAGAGCCTACCCTCACCTTTAGCCAGCCGCTTCTTCGGGGTTCTAGTGTTTCCAGTTCTTACAGAGTACTCTCAAATCAGCAGTCTACACTGTCTTAGTCTCCTCGTACATACTGATAGTAAAACGGATAGCACCCCAAAACATTTCCACATGCACAAACTTCAAACGTGTGTTCACATATCTTACAAGCAGTATTTTCCCAATGCCACTCGCAGCCTGTTAGTGGGTCATTAAATTAACTTAATGACTCCCAACCAACATATATTTTCCACAAATAGAATGAAATGGAAAAGATGGACTAGAACAGAAAATATCAGAGTGCCTCACATCGTAGGATTGTTTCATGACAAGTTTGTTTTAGAAATATAAATGTTGTTATAGATACACATGAACATGTAAAACAGATTTCTAATTGTAGGTTAAAGTTCAAAAAGTTTGAAAGCTTCTGGTAGAGAAGATCAGGAAGACAACATCAATAGCTAAGAGCAAAGGCCGGGCACGGTGGCTCACGCCTGTAATCCCAGCACTTTGGGAGGCTGAGGTGGGCGGATCACGAGGTCAAGAGATGGAGACCATCCTGGCCAACATAGTGAAGCCCTGTCTACTAAAAATACAAAAATTGACTGGACATGGTGGTGGGCGCCTGTAGTCCCAGCTACTCGGGAGGCTGAGGCGGGAGAATGGCTTGAACCTGGGAGGCAGAGGTTACAGTGAGCCGAGGTCACACCACTGCACTCCAGCCTGGCAACAGAGTGAGACTCCGTCTCGAAAAAAAGAGCAAGGGCTTTGGAGTTAGACCTATCAAAGTCTGAATCCTAATTCTGCTACTGATATGCTCAAAGATCTTGGCATGTCACTTATTCCTCTGAGCCTGTTTCCTCACCTGTGGAATGGGAATGCTATACAATACAGCACCTGATGTCCAGTGAACAATAATGAGTCTCCTATGAAGTCTCCTATGAGTCTCCTATGAAGATGCTAAAGCTGTGGGCATCTAGGATCTCAGGGTTGCTCCAGGCCTGATCATCCACTCAGATCTCTAAGGAGGATTCCCAGGATCCATTTAGGAAGATTTTCCCTTACTTCCACAAGCATGGCCTTTGGCTCTTAAATACTTGTGCTGGAGTTTCGTAATTATAGAAACAACAGGAACCAAAACTCATTAATGTTGGACTAAAAACCAGAGGGAAGCTTCTTTCTCAAAACAGGGCTCAGGCCTAGGCAAATCTAGTTTTCTGAAATTGCTAGCCAGCAACAGCACTGGGCATCAGGTGCTGCATTGTATAGAGATGGCCATCCCAGAAACAAGGCCAACACAGAAGCATCCAGGAAGGCTGCTAGAGGTTGGGACAAAGAGATCCTTGCAGTCCCTATAGACCCCATGACTTCCAAGGAGCTCCCCTCTCGCCCAGCCTGGACTGTCTTCTCCACAGGGTAGCCAATCATCAGCATCATCTTTGATGTTGTTGCCAAGGGAACTCAATGCTCCTGCCCTCCCTGTCCATCTCCACATGAAAGGAGAGGTTTGGAAGGAGATGAAGCCTGAAAGCATTGGGAGAACACCCCAGCACAGGGAAACAGAGAGACATGTGAAGCCAGGGAGAAGGCCACTAGTGCAGACAAGAAATGGAAGAAAGCAGAGACAGGAAGAGAGACAAAGAAACACGGAAAGAAATAAAAATGCAACCAAAAAAGAAGGTTTTATGAAGCAAACCAAAAAATAAGATCATAACAAAAGGGGGAGAGCAGAAAAGAAAAGTAATGGAAGAAGCTATGAAGACAAGAGACCATCCCTAGGTTATAAGCTGCTTGGGTCACTGTTCCTTCAGAGGGGGCAATGCCTGGGCACTTCCCAATCCTCTGGGAAAAGGGCATGCAGCGGGGGGAGGAGCTTTCTCCACTCCCATTGTCCTACCCCTCCTCAGGTCTGGTCCATCAGGGAAACCTAGGACACAGGCTCAGGGGCATTTGCAGAAAGAAGCTCCGGAGGCTGTCAGATTTCAATACATCCATCCTGCCCTCCACTGCCAGGTGCCACCTCTAGTGTTCCCAGGCCTGCTCCTTTCTCCCCAGAGATGTGGCTTCGGCTGCCAAGCAATTCCTATCTGTCTTGTCATTCTCAGTTGCACTTTCCCTAAGCTCTGTGTGTTTACCCTGTACCTGACACATTTGGGCACACCAATGTTTTTCTAGAGGTATTTGGGGCTAAACTACACTTTTTGCATTTCCAAGAACTCAGGGAACAAAGAGCAGAGGCCTCAAACTGTGGCCTGGTCTGGCATCCTGGGAATATCTTGGTTATTTGCAAAGGGAACTCCACCCTGTCTCTCAGTCTTCTCTTGCTGCCCCCTTCCGTGGAGGGAATGGGTGGCTATGAAAGGACTTGGCCTGGCACTCTCTCCTTCTATGGACTACCCCTGTGTCCTCACTTCCAGATCACATGCAAGAGGCACAGTAAGTACTCAGAGAAAATGACCCAGTAGAATCCCAAGTCATTAGTGAGGGGCTTGGGCCTGGACCAAGGCGAAAGCCTGATTCCAAGTCCCTCCCACTTCTCACCACAATAGGACTTGAACCCACATCTACATCCTTTCAGCTAAAAGAAGCAGGAGCCAGACGTGACACTGTTTCCTAACATGTGCTCCTACAGCAAAAAGGCAGGGGTGGCTCTAGAGGGAGAAAAAGCAAAGAGGGCACTTTGCAGTGCAGTGGTGAAACCCAGATTCAGAAAGTCTCCAGAGCGGGAGGCTCCAGGCATCCTCAGGTCTGTGGAGAGAGCAAAGGGTCTCAATGGGCAGGCATTCTGAGTGAAACCCCAGAGTGTCCAGCCCAGGAAGAGCCGGATGCAAGGGGGAGGGAAGCTCGCTGGTGGCCAGGCCCGGCCAGAAAAATAGGAGGTGCAGAATGTAGGGCTCTGCTAGGCCTCTGGCCTGCCACCTGGGCCCAGAGCGACTTCTTGCTGTGCCACACCCCCTGGCTGCCATGTTCACTCCCCAAAACCTGAGATTTCCCCTCAAAACACAGATGGGGTATGCGGGAATCAGTCCAGCCAGCCACTCTGGCTCTGACGTTCACCGAGGGTGCAGCCTAAGTCACTCACGCCTCCCTAGCTGCCCTGAAGGCTGAAATACAGAGCATCTTTGAGGGCATCTGCTCTATCTGTGGGAAGGGGGACAAAATGCTCAAAATAAAATAAAAGCAAGGGCCAGGACCCAAAGGGGTCTCACTCCCTGTTTCTCTAGACTCTCTGTGGGGTGCCTTTGTGCAGGATTTCTGCAGAAGATAGTCCATTTTGTTAAGCCTTTGAATATTCAAATTGAAAGTATCGCGCAATCATTGATTGTCAAATCATGGGTTTCTAGAGGTTTTAAATACTTGGCATGAGGGGGAAAAAACTCAAACCTATACCCGAAGGTATAAAACATTATTTCTGTTTGTCTCCTGCTCCAGGGATCTGGGTACAGCCAGATGCTTTGTGAAACTTTAAAAATGTTGCATCTCTGCTTCTCTCCCTGCCCAGGAGCCCTCCCAGGCGCTGAGTCCCTGCAGCTGCAGCATCCAGCCACCGACCCAGCTCCTGCTGACCACGATGTCGGGTAACTCGGCTGCTTCTCCTGGGGTCGGGTCAGGCAGACCAGGGGCATTTCAATCCGGGTGTGTTTCCACAGCTTTTCCTGCATAGAACAGAGAGGCGCAAAGTCAAGGCATGCGAGTAAGGGCTGAGGATCCGGAGAGGGCGCGGGCCACGCTGTGGCCGCTCCCACTCAGCGTCTGTCCCGGAGGGCAGAGGCCCAGAGACCGCGATGGCCTCTCCGGACGTCCGCGTACCCCAGGCCCCCGGCCGCCCTTCCACTTTTCCGCTGTTGTGTCCTTGGACTTTGCGGCGCGGACCCTGCGCGCCCAGAAGCCTCGAATGGGGGAGCTAGAGGCTCCCGGTGAGCCTGGGACTGGGGCAGAGCGCGCCGGCCGCACTGAGCCGAGCTGTGGTGGTCCCTGCCCGGACCCCAAGGGACGCCCGCTGCCCGCAGAGCCCGGAGCGGATCGAGGAACTGGGTGGCGGGGCGGCGGTAGGCTGGAGCGCGGAGAGGGCGCTGCGCGTGGGCCCTGCGGGCGGGGCACAGGATTCCCTAGGAAAAGCGTAATCCCCTTTCCTGGGGAGACCCTAGCTCCTGGAACTCGGCTTGAGGGGGATCCCTGCTGTCCAGCTGCGGGCCCTGCAGTGACCAGGAGAGGCGCTGGCATCCTGGCATTATCGCCAGGCGCCCAGGCTGAAAGCGTGGCCACCTCCGGCCGCCGCGCCCAGCTCCCGCTTGTGCGATTCCTGGGCGCTCCCTGCAGGGTCGAGGGCCGAAGGTGCCCAGGACTCCTGCGGCCACCTTCACCTTGAAAGCTCGCCCGGCCTGGCTTGGCCTAACAGCAGGTCCCCCACTTACTCACTGCGGCTCTTCGGGGCCCGGGGTGGAGGCTGCCCCTGCTCCCTGCTCCCAGGGTCCCTCCCAGCGAACCCCTCGGGCGCGCGCCCGCCAGCTCCCGCGAGCTGGGGTAGTCTGGCCCGGCTCCGCCAGCCCCAGGGAGGCCCCTACCGAAGGGCAGCCTCCCGGCAGAGTGCGCGGTCCTAGGAGCCCTGGATGGCTTTCCCCAGCTCGCGCTGCTCGGACTCGCCCCGGAGCCTCAGCGCGCCGCAGAGAAACGCCTGCCGCAGAAAGGGAGGGGGTGGGGAGAGAAGGGAAGAAGGGGAGAGCAGGAGCGGGGGCGAAGGAGGGAGGAGGGCAAGATGGAGCGCGGAAAAGGCGGAGAAAAGGGAAGAGGGAGAGCGGGCAGAAGGAAAAGACAGAAGGGAGAGAGGGAGGGAGTTCCTCGGAGGCCTGGCCCCTTTACTAGGGTCAGTCTGGCTGGTCCCTCACCGGCCCAAGACTGGGCTGGCCAAACCTCACCACTTGCCCTAGGACTGGCTTCCAGACCAAAGGGCACGGAGAGGTCAGAGCCTGTCCAGAAGCCACACCTGGCCAGATGGAGAAGGAAGGGACTCGGGACTTCCACACCAGTGGGAACACAGTGGGGTGGGCTAGGTCAGCCGCCATAATCAGAGAAAGCCCCCTGCCCCGGGCCTGGCCCCTCCCCAGGTCCATAATACCCTCTCAGAGGGCTGGGCCCAGAAGCCTAGGTTCCCCCGACTTAGCCAAGGTAGTGGGTTATGGGGCACTGATCTCCACATTCCAGAGCAGCAAAACCTTGTGCTATTGGCCTAGGACTGAGGCCCAGCCAAGGGTGGATGGTCCCACAAATTTCCATGGGTTCTGTTCCCACTGGGGCCCTGAAACCTGCTCAGCCACTCTTCATTCTTTCAAGTTTGAAGTGTTTGGGTTTTTACCATCTTTTGACATTTGTGTGTGTGTGTGTTCTCTGAACTTAGAAACTTGGCTTTGGGTGCCATCGCCTATAAAAGGGGCCCCTACTTTGTACCCTGACACCCAGACCTTGGACTCGACCACTGACTCAGTTGCCTTTCTCCAGAAAAACCAAAGGTGTATCAAGGTGTCCGAGTGAAGATCACAGTGAAGGAGCTGCTGCAGCAAAGACGGGCACACCAGGCGGCCTCAGGGGGAACTGTGAGTATAAACCCTTCCCTCCCTCACCAGCCCATGCTGGGCCTCTTTCAACCCTGTGTCTGCAAGGTGTGGAGGCCACCCAAGGCCCCACGCCCTCACCATCCCCAGACCTGGCCTTCCTCCACTGTTCCTATGACTTCTGTACCCAGCTGCATCCCAATCGGGAAGCCACAGAGGACAGCTGGGGCATGTTGTGTGGCTCAGGATTTGGGAGAGCCCATCCATCCCCCATGGATAAAAGTAAAGTATAAAAGATGTGTTGGTCCTCTGCAGGGGGAGGAGCAGCCAGCAGGTAAGTAGACATCGTTTTGTTAGGAAGACAGTGTATGTATATATAGCCATCACAGACCCACAGAAAATCTCTCCCAGAAATTCACCTCATTTTAGTGGCCCCTTCCAGGATAGCATGTTTGTACATCCTCCCTTCCCTCTTCTTTCTTCTAGAACTCACCCTCTGAGATCTCTTGTCTGTAAATCATCAGTCACCTAAAGTGTAGTACAGAACCACTTCCTTAAAATGTAACAAAGCCTTGAGCAGTTCCAGGTTATTACAAAATTGAACTGAGCGGTCATTAGGGTATACCCTAACACTTTATACACCTTCTTGCCCCTGCTCCCGACACAGTAGAACCTTAGTAAGTACTACTAAAAGCACTCAGGGCAGCAGCAGAACCAAACAAACTAGGTGGGATTATTACCCAAGAGAGGGCAGCTCATCCCTAAAAACCCTCAATTGTACAGTTGCTTGGGGGTTGGCTTGGGTGTGGACGTAGGATCTGACAGCTGGGGCTCGTATTGCCTATGTTAGGATTGGTCCTTCTCCAGCCCATTGGCATCTGCCTCACAACAGTTTTTGTGCCTGATGCTGTTCATGTGCAATGCATGACATCATGAAATAGGCCTTTGGCAGTGGGACTTCATGAAATGGGAGGGGGCAAATTATGTAGCGGAGGTAAACACAGGTTCCGGAACCAGATGGACTGGGCTCAGGTCTCAGCTCCTCCATGGTGTTTATCCTCAAGCAAATTACTCAATCTGTCTTGCCTCCATTTACTCATCTTCATCCTCATATTGGGGATGATAGGATTTTGTGAGGGTTAATCGAGCTATTGCATACAAAGCCATTGGAAGAATGCTTTCCACATAGTGAAAATAAATGTTCAATAAATGTCAGTTGTCATTATTTGAGAAATAATAATATTATTTGAAGGAAGCAACTAAAATAAAATTCTAACCAAGGGTTGAAAGCCAGCTATTTAGTAATGTTCATTCACACCCTTTGCTCAGAGTTTAGAGTTCAGACGTGAACCAGCTGCAATTTGGCATATACAGCACATGCAGCTAGAAAAGTTAGGACTTCCATGTGCAGAATTTCAGGTAACACATTAACAGTCCCTTACGTTTCTAGAGGGCTTCAGAGTGGTTCTATTTCAGCTAGCCACTATTTCATTCAGTTTTTATAACAACCAGCAGAGGTAAGTAGATCAAAGATCTGTACCTCAATTACAGGTAAAATTCAAAATCTTGAAGTAGCTCATGGCTAAGCTAAAAGTAAGACTAAGGCCTTATCCTTAGTATAATATGAAAACCTTCCGTTGGCTCTCTACGCTCTAAATTCATTATTCTGCGGATCTGACCATACTAAGCAGGCATCTCAACCCCTTCAGTTCAGAGATGGTTATATAATTAATAAAACCAGTAAAAAGGAACTGGAAAATGCTTCTGGAGAAAAACATCATCAAGACGTTCTTAATAAAATGTAACCTTTCCTGAAGGAGCTTTGGTACTTCGTAGACTTCTGCTCAGCTGCACCTGGAGAAGTCCCATGTGAGTGTGGCACTTCCGTGGCTGCTGGGCTGTTACAGATGGGTCTGGCCACTGTTCCCATCTTGGCTCACTACAGGAGCCAAAGCCAGGGTAGGACATTTCACTTGTGTATCTGACTAGTTTCCGTTCCCCAGAGTAGTTTGACTTACTTAAATTTTTCTGAATTCTCTCCTGAGAAATAAAGCAGGACTTCTGAGCCAGTGTCTTATAGGAACCAGCAGAGTAAAAGCCTGCTTTACTTTGCTTCCCAGAAGACTGTATCAGCCTATGCTCTCGCAAGCACATAGGAGTAACATGCATATAATTTAATTACAAGAGCCAAATGTAAAGTCCCTCACTGGAAGCCATTGGAAGGATCTGGGATTCTAAGGAAGCTGTGAGAGCGTACTTAGTAAGCAAGGGTAGCAGGTGCGAGGGGATGACTTATGCCCACTTTGTAGACCTTTCCGGTATAACAGAGATGATCTCCAATTTGTTCAATTGTTTAAGGATGCCTCTGGATAACTTTAAGCCAAGGAGAGAATTAATTGTATCAAATACTACAAAGCAGCAAGAAATCTATCTTAATTTGTTATAAAGTCAGAGTGGTATCCACAATTGAAATTTTAAGAAGGCAATCATGAATGGAAGTTATAGGTTGAGACAGATATTCAGTGAAGAATTCAAATATTCTTCAAGCAGTGCCAGAGAAACTGTGTATATGCCAGATTGAAACACTTGATTTTAAAAAACTTATTTCAGCCAGATCAATTTGCAAACACATACACACACACACACACACACACACACACACACACACACACTTGCCTTTAGGGTAAAAGGAAACTTGAGTTAGTCATTATCAAAAGATATCATTTACCTTTCTTTTTTTAAAGCATTAATTTTTTAAACAGGCTTGATGTATTTTTTTTATAAATTGTAGATTGTGAATTTTCGTGCTGTTTGAAATCTAAGAGAGAGGTGCCTTTCTTTGTGTTATTGGAGCAAAGTAGAAAGTGAACCCATGACTAGAAAGATAATATCAAGTAGGATAATGTAAACACATCTCAGGGAGATAACAGGGGGAGGAGGCAGACAAACAGGCCAATCTGGGGGAGGAATGGGGTTAAGGAAAGCTCTACAATGAGGCAGATTTTTTAATACCCACTCTTTCCAAGTCCTTCAGCTCAAGCTGCAGCCAAATATTTGCATAAAGAACTGCTAAAGGATTCCAGCTTCCTGGTTCATGACATTACAGCATGGATCATTTTCAAAATTAATACTGCCTCCTGTTTCAGCAGTGGCTGCCTGCACAGCTCTCCCTGTGGCTCAGAGTACGGGAGTGAGTATCCCTGTAACCCAAAAGAGGTGTGGTGAGCTTGGCTTCCCAGCACAGAATCACAGAGCAACGCAGGTCCCTTTAAACTTTAAAACCACCATCTGAAATTAAAAAAAAAAAAAAAATCCTAAATTACTCAGTTAGTATAATTGTCAACTCAACTGAAAAACGCAGTCTGCTTTACTTTAAATAGTTTTTAAAAAGCAGTCTCATAAACTTTTAAGTATTTAAATACAGTAGTTTAAATAAAAGCAACTTTTATAGAAAATAGTACGAAACATGCAAAGTCCTGGAATAATTCCCAACCATTAACTAGAATGTAATTAGGTTCTGACTCACCAACTACAGCCTTAAGAAAATATTCTCTATTTTAATATTTCATGTATATTAAGAACATGTGAGTATTTTTAGCTACTCAGGATTAACAAAGTTTGGAATCGTGTTCTTTGGAGAAATGAATCCCTAAGGCTAAGTAGCCAGATGGTATGTGAAAATTTTGAGAAAAATAATTGAATAAGCCATAGAGAGTTGGGATTAAATGAATGTTAGTTTTTATTAATTTTAAATTGAATAGTTTAATAGGATACTTTTTGCTGCATTTTCTCAAACTGTTACATTTTTGCCTCATGAAATTATTTGCATTAATTTGTTAATAAAATTAATCGCCTTTAAAATTTAAGTGGAAGAATCTGATATTAGGAAAAAATTCCCCAAGCAACATAAACATTGAATCTAAATAAAACATAACATTGGTTGTATTTAAGAAGGCAACTTTTCTGAGAAGGAAGAATCTGGCTTACCTTATAGCAGAAAGAAGCATAGTCCTCATTAAAATGTCTTAGCTTTCCCTTTAGAGCTTTTCTTTCAGCCTGCTTCACAGTGATATTCTTGCTTTGACAGCGGTCCGGAGGCAGCAGTGTTCACCTTTCAGACCCAGTTGCACCATCTTCTGCAGGTCAGTACAGCCAGCATTACAGTTCCCTCAAACACTCTTTTGAAAGGCCATCTCGAAAGTCTTTCAGTGCTTGATTCGGGGGTTAAGATAGTCACCACCATTTAATTGGAATCCAACCAATCAGAAGGTGAAAAAGGCATAGTCACTCCACATGCAAGCCCAGCAAGGAAACAAGCGCAAATGTCCTCATTTCTGAACTCTCTGCTCTCTGCTATTTTGTCCCAATAGTTTGTTCCTCACATTTATTCCAGTTCTTCATCACCAGGTAACTAAACTGAACTACAAAATCAGAATTGTTCTCAGGAACTTATCTTTTTGTTAGTGTACTATTAGATGGAATACAGAACATCCCGAGGCACTAGAATAATGCCTTTGCTCTGTTCCTTTAGTTTCCAGCGGACAGGGGCTTCCCTCCCCTTCTCTCTTCCCAGAAAGCAGTTCAAACAAGTGTAGGTTTTCTCAGCCCAATAAGAATAACTCAATTACATAAACACTCCTACCTCTGCTATTCAACAGCTAAGAGTTTAAGGAGGTCGTATATAAGGAAATCTCTGCCTATGGCTGCTCCACACTAAATGCGTCACTGTAGCTTCACTTTAAAGGAACTTGACACCTCAAGAAGAACCCAGTGTCGTTTAGTCCCTTTGAGGAGCACATGCTAATCCTCTCTTCTTCCAGCATTTACGGATAATTATCACAAATTGGGCCTATTAATAATAAAATGGAAAAAGAGTAACGTTTTCTGATTATTCTTGTTTGACATTTAACAAGACATTTACTTTGACACATTATGTTAGCATGTTCACTGAGAAAACATTTTGGCTTTTTGTAATTTCGAGCCAATAGTAATTGGTACTCTATGTTCCTGGCTTCCATGATTATCATTTGCATTCCCATTTAAATCACTTCTCAAAATTCTCTCCTCCTAACTTAAGTTACTGAGTAAGAGTGAAAAGCTCAGAAAAGCAGTCACCCTAAGTCAAGGGAATTATTTCCCAAAGCATCAGAAGTCTTCTCAAAGCCTCAACAACTGTCAGTTACTTCTGAGAGGTTTACGTGAACTGCCGGTAGGGGCTAGATGTCGATGGTTTCAAAGCCCAGAAAGGGGAAGCTTGAGCCATTTTCTGACTGTGTACTTGGACACAGATTGGGTCACCATCCTTTTATTTTTGTCCTAACCTCTTTTACAGCCAATTTCCACATTATTAACCACGTTCATTTCCCTGGAGCTTGAATTAGCTAAGACAAATAAAAAGTCCAACTTGCATTCCTGTTTACTTTTCTGGACTTGGTAAGCCCTTTTCCCCCTAGACATAGTAAATATTCAGAGGATAGATCTCCATTCAAATCTATGTTTTGCAATTTTTATGCAAAAACCTGTCTTTTTCCTTTCTCCTCTAGGACTGTATTTTGAGCCTGAACCAATTTCTTCCACGCCCAATTATTTTCAACCTCGAGAATTTTCCAGTTGTGTTTCATATGAAGAAAACTCAAGCTGCCTCGACCAGATCTTCGATTCCTACCTTCAGACAGAGATGCACCCTGCAGAGCCTTTGCTCAATTCCATTCAAAGTACTCCACACCATTTCCCAGACAGCTTCCAGGCCACCCCTTTCTGCTTTAACCAGAGCCTGGTAATTTATCTCAGTTCTCTATATACCTGATTTTTGCTAACTCTGGGGGAATAGTGCTTTGTGAGTTTGCACCATCTCGTGGGAAATCATACAAAAGCTATCAGCAAGGAAATCATCCAAGGATACAAGTAGAGAAGAATTTAAAAGTCAATGTATAAAGTAGCCACACACTGCAGGGCATAAACCTTTGGATACACACAGAATTTAGATTTCTCAAGTAGATCACCAGGTAAGTTGGTGTGTAGCAATAAAAAGAGGTTCCTGGCAATATTCATTTAATGTTTTTTAAACTGTGAAGTCAAGATACCTACTAATTGGAAGTCAGTGGTTTAAACAATGGCTCTTGGATTTTTGGATGGATTTTGAGTTCTTGAAAATGGAATTAAGGCAGTGTATATATGGTACCAAGTTTCATTGCATCGGGGGGATTTTGCTTTGTTTTGTCATTGAACTGACTAACTGATGGTTTTAGTCTGCTGTAAGCACAAGAACTCATTTGGGTCTGAAATGGTTAGTAAAAATGAAGATCTAATCTTTGAAAAAAATTAGATTGACTGTTCTTGATGGATCTCAAATGTTTGAAAATGTGTTATCCTTCAAAATGAAGGAAAGTTTCTATTAGCGGAAAATATTTTAGTTGTCTTTTAGAGACTCACAGGTTTTTTTGCAAACCGTAAATTGTAACTTTTTCTTTTTTAAGGAATGTAAATACTTTTTGCTTTTTGCCAAAAGTCTGTGTGGGCATCAGACTAAATTTTAGAGGGGATAGGAAATTAACTCCACAGAATATGCACATTGTCATGGGGAAAACATGGGGCCCCAGTGACCCAGTTCCTTCACAGCCTCCAAGTTAGGTTTTCTCATTAACAGTTGTTGACTTGCTTAAGAGAAAACAGACAATAGCTCTCACTCAGGGGAACAAGACTTTAGTGACCAGACACGTAGTGACTCATCTTGGCATATCCCAGGGATAATCCAAGATCCTTGAGGATCCAAGTTCTGCCTTTGCATGTTCACCTGGTTTTCCATGGTGAGGGTGTGGAGAAACATCCAGAGTGCCACCTGCAGCTTAGATTGTGGCATACAGCAGGGTTTGATGTGCAGGTGACTTGAAGCACAATGGGATTTTGTGGTTTCAGAACAGAGCACCCTCTAAAGTAGGATTATAACAAAGGAAACCAGTGAAGCAAGACAATGCATTGTTGGGAAAGAAATAGGTAACTATAGAATGTGGTGTCATGAAATCATGTAGTCAGCAAATAAAATTACTTCTGCAGACTTGGGTTGGGTGTTGTTTGGTTTGGTTTGGTTTTTTACCTCTAATTTTCTCACTCTGCGTAGGTAAGTCCACACCGTTCAGTCCTTTTGATCCCGTCTAAGTTATCAAGCTCTTTGTTTCTTGGTTGTCGTTTCTCTAGATCCCAGGATCGCCTTCAAATTCCTCCACTCTCTCTGGCTCCTTAGACTACAGTTACTCACCAGTTCAGCTGCCTTCATATGCTCCAGAGAATTACAATTCCCCTACTTCTCTGGACACCAGAAACTGTGGCTACCCCCCCGAAGACCATTCCTACCACCACTTGCCCTCGCATGCCCAGTACAGCTGCTTCTCCTCGGCCACCGCCTCCATCTGCTACTGCGCATCGTGTGAGGCAGAGGACTTGGATGTGCTCCAGGCGGCAGAGTACCTCTACCCGAGCACAGACTGTGTGGACTTTGCCCCCTCAGCAGCTGCCACCACTGATTTCTATAAGAGGGAAACAAACTGTGACATCTGCTATAGTTAATAGATATTACAGTAATTCGGAACATGGCATGGGTATTTCTATTTTTCTACCACGTCTAGATGACACTGCAAAATATGCAACTTGGTAACACAATATCCCAAGCACAGTTTACATGTCACTATTTCCAATTTTCTGATGAGAACCTAGCCATATGAAGTCCTCAAACCGGGTCGTAGTGCCACTCCTTCTTTGTTTGCTCATAGTTTAAATTTTTGTAGACAACTTTCAATTGTTTTACTTTTTTGTGTAACGAACAAATGCTCTCTCCTTTTTTACTAATAAATAATTTTGTATTACTAAATGTTGGATTTTTTTTTTTATTTCCAGCAGTCATTCTTAATTGATTTGAACATTAGCCATTAATTCTGGAAATTGTTAATTACTCTCAAGTGGTTTAATCTTATGGATTCGTGAATTTAAAATTATTTTCATTCGGGTCAGGCGTGGTGACTCACGCCTGTAATCCCAAAACTTTGGGAGGCTAAAGTGGGAGGATCACCTGAGGTCAGGAGCTCGAAACCAGCCTAACCAACATGGCGAAACCCTGTCGCTACTAAAAATACAAATAAATTAGCCAGTCATAGTGCCACGATCCTGTAAGCCCTGCCTCACCTCTAGAGGAGAGGGTACATCTTGGAGCAACATCAGAAAAAGACATTTATGAATGATTAGTTTCTCTTTTCTAACATTAGTCAGAGAAGTGTTAGGATGACCAAAAAGCACATGTTGCCTACAGCTATGTTAGCCTGTAGATCATTCTTTTTCCTTTTCAAAGCATTGCTTTGGAAACTCTCTGAGCAAATAGTTGAACTTCTTTTTCTTGAGAGCTGCCATACAGTTAATGTAGCCCAAAGTTTATAAGTCATTATTTCTATTTCTGAATTTTTGGCTTTAGAGAGTATTTAAATATACATCACTCATGTTTACACATTGATTTATAGGATTGACTATGTTGTTTACACTTGAATTTTAGAGTTTACTTCCTCTGATTAATCCATTTAAAAAAGCCCAACTGTCTTTCAAGGTAAAGAGGAGTTATTCAATATACCTATGCTGGATTAAACTGTCGAATCTTGTTTGCTGAGGGCATTAAGGCACAGGACTTAATCCCTGAAATGAAGTCTGAAGAGCCTTAGCCATGTCTAAAGTTCCAGTACAATGGCAGCAATACTGGTACCTTCAGCACTGGCTACAGGTACGATTTTCTGAGCACTTCCTATGTGCCAGAATTATCTAAGGGTGTTCTCACACATTATCCCATTTAATATTCGCAACATTGACAGCAAAATGAGGAGTCTGAGGCTCAGGGAAGCTAATTCACCTGACCAGTGTCACCCAACCAGGAGGCACCGAAGCTTGGGTTGGAAAGATAGGAAAGCCCTGTCCCTTCCTCTCCAGTGCGGAGAAGTTTGAACCACTGTATGTAAAAGACTGTTCAGGAGCCCATGGCATCTTTAAATGCCAACTTTCTCATATACACAAAGGTGTGTCCCAATCATAACTGAGTCAGACCTCGCCAAAAAGGCTAGATTGTCCACAGGACACAGAGATGCCAGGCACAAGAGCTATCAGACTATAGGTCCTGTACTCTGGAGACTCAGGAAGAAGCTGACTCACTGCCACTTCAGTGAGTTTCTTCCTACCAGGAGATGAATATACTTTGAAAATGTCACTATCTGACCATCTTCCTTGGGGACTCAACCAAAGCTTGGGCAAACAGGGCAAGTTGCAACCTGCCTCATGGGATAGTCATGCCAGGAAAATAGAACAATCACTGCCTTCTGAGATGCCAGTAAAACTAGATTTTTAATGGCTTGAAACCAGCCTCTTGTCAGCAAGTACCTATTCACACAGACCAAAGACCCTTCATACTGTCCACTCACCACCTCACCCCCAGCAGCTGTTCCCCAGAAATAGAGAACAGAGAATCCAAAGATGTCCAGTGGTTGGCATTGATATACCCCTTTTCTAGATACCATTCCTTTTTTATTCCCCATGTCAGTCCTCTGGCGCCTGAATCAATTGTCCTGCAGCTCGAACAGAGAACATTTTCCTACCTTCTTAGGACTGACTCTTTCCTCGCACACTCCTAGGTTTTGCCTACATCTAGTGCAGAAAATGATTCATGGAGGAATGTAAGACAAGGACGAGTACAGCTCCAGTGCATCACGATGTATAACTCCACCTTAAAGGCATCATTAAAAACTTGCCAGAAATTTGGGCCAGTGGGTCTCCTGGTGCATTCCTAAGTGGGTGGGAGCTGCCCACTCAGTGTCTTAGCTGCTGCAGCCACACAGACCAGCTCAGGAGCCCTGTAGCAGCAGGCAACACATCCATCACCAGCACGTCTCATCAACGTATACTGCGGCAGCTGGTAAAACCCAGGTACTTACACCTCTCTGTGAGAAAGAGAAATTCAGTAAGACCAGGGTGGGGCCCCGGCATCTGCATAATCTAAATGTACCTAAGTTGATTATTTTTGTGTATGTGTGATGGAGTCTCACTCTGTCACCCAGGCTGGAGTGCAGTGGCCCAATCTTGGCTTATTGAAATCTCCACCTCCTGGGTTGAAGTGATTACCCTGCCTCAGGCTCCCCAATAACTGGGACTACAGGTGCATGCCACCACGCCTGGCTAATTTTTGTATTTTAGTATAGACAGGGTTTCACCATGTTGGCCAGAATGGTCTAGAACTCCCGACCTCAGGTCATCCACCCGCCTTGGCGTCCCAAAGTGCTGAGATTACAGGCGCGAGCCATCCTGCCCAGCCTGAATGTACCTAAGTTAATTCTGATAGAGATGATCTTATGTTTACTCTTAAAAAACGCTGACATAATCAATGTCTAAATTGTTTACTTGAAGGACCAACAGCACAATAATAACAGCTTACATGAACTAAGCTCTTTCTATGGGCCAGTGATGTGGAGATTATCTCACTTAATCCTCAAAAAGTCACCCAAGATATATATTATTATTGTCCTCATTTTTATGGATGATGAAGCTGAAGTTTGGAGAGATGTGATAACTTGCCCAACGTCACATCTCTGATATACCAGGGAAAGAGTTCTCTAACTCAGGTGATCCAGTGTTACTGTCTGAACTTCCAAGAGCCTCAATATACTTTCCATGCATTATACATGGAAGAATAACCTTCTCTGGAATTTTATCTTTTGCCTTAAAAGTCACAGGAATATCTACAGCCAGTTCCTCATACCACAAATGCATTTGATAACATTATAAATGGAAGTTTACATGAAGAAATATATTTTGTTATTCAGAATCATTATCAAAATCAATAATCCAAATGTGAATTTAGTGCTTACTGTATGCAAGACTGATTATATGTTACATGCCTTCAAAATGCAAAGCCAAAAGTTAAAAAGGGATGTAATTTTTTAAATGTAAAACTATGAGGATTTCAGGTAGGATGGGCATGGACTGATTTAAAAATTCTTAGAAGACTTTAACTAGGAGTCAACTCTTGAAGCTTGAGAGAGAAGAGACAAAGCTGAAAGTAATAAACATTGGGAAACTATTACCTCAAGCAATTGCCAGAGTATGACATCTTGGCAGCTGGCCTAAGCCAGCAGTTGAACACTTAGGAGCAAGGTATAGACAGATAAGGATAATTGAAATGATGCAGTCAGGGAGGGAAGAGTACCTGTGGGTAAAAAATGTTTTTAAAAATCACTCTTAGGCCTGGTGTGGTGGCTCATGCCTATAATCCCAGAACTTTGAGAGACCCAGGCAGGTGGATCACAAGGTCAATAGATCAAGACCATCCTGGCCAACATGGTGAAACCCCATCTCTGCTAAAAATACAAAAATTAGCTGGGTGTGGTGGTACGTGCCTGTAGTCCTAGCTACTCAGGAGACTGAGACAGGAGAATCGCTTGAACCCAGGAGGTGGAGGTTGCTGTGAGTTGAGATCGCGCCACTGCACCCCAGCCTTGTGACAGAGCGAAACCCCATCTCAAAAAATATAATAAAATAAAATCACTCTTTACTCTAGAAAGATGAAGGTTGGAAGGGTTAGGATCAAAGCCAATGAAATTATGAATAATTAGATTAAAGTAAGCATGAACCTACCATCATTTCCAAATCCTCACAACCTATATAACTAACCCTATAGCAACCCACTGGTGAGGCTTTTCTGAGCAGCCCCCTTCACAGTTCCCCCCTCCTCCTACAGGTGACAGTGTGGCAATGCTTTGCTAATAGGATTATTTGGTCATTGGGATATCTCAGAGCCCTGGGGGCTAGATTTGAGGGTGGCCAGAGGGTGGCCATCCAGGGCCAGGTGGCTCTGTGCTTCAAAACAGAGTAATCGACCTCATTTTCTATGCTTCTATAGGCCTCTGGAAAAGATGTAGAGGCTGGAAGATGAACAAATCTGAAACAACACAGCTATGCATGGTAATAAAGCACCAAACTCATTGAAGACAGGAATCTGCATCCATTAGGTCATACTTCAGAAAAGTTTCTTTTACTTAAAATGGATAGAGAACATACAGTTGTTATTTGAGAAATATGGAAGTGTGTGTGTGTGTGTGTGTGTGTGTGTGTGTGTGTAATGTCTTTTTCAGTCTTTTTCAGACAAACAAATGCTGAGATAATTCACCACTAGAAAGCCAGTACTACAAGAACTGCTAAAAGGAGCTCTAAATCTTAAAATAAATAAATCCTGGAAACACAACAAAACAGAATCTCTGTAAAGCATAAATCTCACAGGACCTATAAAACAAAATACAATTTTTAAATATCAAGGTATACAGGCAACTGTATGGTGCTTCACATCTCAATATGAATGTACTTCACATCTCAATGCTAACATTGAATATAAATGGCCTAAATGCTCCACTTAAAAGATACAGAATTACAGAATGGATAATAATTCACCAACCATCTGCCACCTTCAAGACACTCACCTAACGCATAAGAACTCACATAAACTTAAGGCAAAGGGGTGGAAAGTAATAGCAGGAGTAGCTGTTCTTATAAACTTTAAAGCAACATCTGTTTAAAAAAAGACAAAGAGGGGCATTATATAAAGAAAAAAGGTCTTGTCCAACAGGAAAATACCACAATCCTAAATATATATGCACCTAACACTGGGGCTTCCAAATTTATAAAACAATTACTAATAGACCTAAGAAATTAGGTAGATGGCAACACAATAATAGTGGACTTCAATACTTCACTGACAGCATTAGACAAGTCATCAAGACAGAAAGTCAACAAAGAAACGATGGGCTTAAACTATGCTCTGAAGGAAATGAACTTAACAGATATTTACAGAAC